TAGAGATGCACCGATTGCAATTTTCTTGGCCGATGGCCGATTCCGATTTTTCGTTAGTGTGATCTGCCGATACCGATTTGTGCAGATTCCGATATAGTTCTAAGAACTATAATTGACAGCATATACAAACAAAAATCTACTTTTCTTCAACGCAAAGTTTTGTTTTCATAAAAAAAAACACAAGTAAAAGGTCAGTAATAAAATAAGAACAAATAAAACAATGGCAAACAACAGCACAAATAAATGCAATAGAATAAAGAGAGCTATGAAACTAAGTTTTTCAGGTTAAGTAAGTTTTAGAAACAAATAGAAACATAATTAGCGTAGCTGCTGTTTCAACCAAGTAAAATTGATTTGTTTAACCCAAGCTAAAGAATAATACAAGTCGTAATCTGCGCTCTAGTAGTTTCATTAATTTCTGCATACCTAAAGTCCGTACCTCCTTTGGTCGTTGCTCTTTTCAGTTTTCTGCTGCATATGATTGGAATCATCTGCAGCAGACTTTAAAGCTTAGTTCATTTATTTCGCTCTCTTCCTTTAAAAATTCAATTCAGATCATTGTACTTGTTTTTAGTTATTTGTTTGTTTTTATATGTCACTGTTTATAATCGTGTTATTTGTAACTCTATTATGATTTTATTGTATTGTACCTGCTTTTTATGCTGCCTCTTGGCCAGGTCGTCATTGTAAATGAGAACTGGTTCTCAACTGACTTACCTGGTTAAATAAAGGTTAATAAAGAATAATAATGTGCATTTGATCGCCTTTGAAAGTGATTTGCCACCACCAGGCCGTCACATTTAGTTCAGTATATTTTATATTTAACACATTAATCTCCTAACATTATTTATGCAATTATACCTGCAGTGTCAGTGCATTCATGGCATCTCTGAGCTGCATCAAACAGTCTGTGTAAATGCATCTAAATTCTTCTGAAGTGCAAAGATAAATGTTGTTGATATTGATTACATATGATTGTTAACAGCCCTATAGTGGATTATTCTAATTTAATTTATTGAATACACAAATCAATTTACATAAAACATGATGGATGCATTTAATAAGGTTAGAAAATTTGCCCTTATGAAGGTTAAAAATTTCAAGGGGGAAAATATTGTCCCTTAATGGTTTGGGATTCTTTTTCAAGTTTTATCCCACGCTGTGTGTGAGCCGCTCATGATAACAGTGTTTATATTCGCAGCAAATGCAGCTCCACATAAACTGTATTTTATTAAGTTTGAGTCACTTATAACGTGCATTTGAAAATGCAACATGCGCCAAACATCTACCCAAATTTGTAATGAGAATGGTTCCTGAATCTGTTGTCTACAAAAGAGATGCATTTCAAAAGAGATGTTTCCCTGTAGTTTTCTGCCAAAATAAAATCTCTATGCTTTAACATTTGAAAGCTGTCACGGATCTAACCCGTGGCTGTACATGAACTATGGGCACGTACCCTCATAACGTACACACACACACACACAGCGTGCAGTATTACACGGTCTGTTTGCCGGCACTGACATCTGTACACGGGACTTATGTAATGCTTGAACCATACAAATGTTGTGTATTACGTATTTGTTGTATGTTAGGTTAAAGTGTGTATGTTCATGGGGGAGTCTGTACACGTTCAATGTGTTTGTGTGATTTAGCCATTTAACATAACCTGACAGCATATATAGGTTTTGTTTATACATATACTCATTGTACAAATAACCACAAGATTCATTCATACAGTTAAACCATTTATTTGATTTAAGTTCATACAGATTAACAGATATACTTACCAGCAGTGAAACATCAATTGCCCAAACCCGTGTTATTTAAACTTAGCATTCGCACCACCTGAACAGACAGGTCCACATTTCCTTGACATCATTAGAAAGGTCCATACAGCAGCAGTGAAACAAATGTATATCTGGTTAGTCTTTCATGCCTATGTCTTATGTGTTAAAAACTCTATTGGTATTTGGGGTTATGTATGTACTGTGTGTTTGTATGTCTAAAGGTTGTATATGGTAATTGTGCCTGAACTTACCCATAGAGTGGTACGTTCCCGGAGGAGGGGCTTAGGATGTAAAATGGCCGAGGGAAATTGTTTGAAAGAGATCTAGCCTCAACTGTGTTTAGCGTGCTCGTGCTCATGTCTTGGTTCACAATGGCAGTGAACGGACTTTTAAAGAATTTATAGTTTATTTACTTTTTTTGATTGACTTTTTGTAGCATGTTTTTCTTAATTCTGGGAACCTTACACAATAAATGCACCTGCAATGGGACTTTAGTTGACTGGTCACTTTTTACCCCGGCCGCAAAGGCTATTCCGGACAGAAGCAAAGAAAAAAACAACTATAAATATTAAGTACTGTAATTGCACTATTATATAATTGTCACACCCATGGACGTTCTGTTGTGTTCTGGGCCCTGTGTGACCCAGTTTTTCCCTCATGTTTGATTGTGTCATTTGGTTCAGGTGTGACTAGTTAATCATCTTCATTTGCCAATGTATTTAAGTTGTGTTCAGTTCACTGTTCTCTGTCCGGTCTACTTGGTCCCTACATGTGCATCCTGCCTGTCTGCCCTGTATTTACCCTCTTGTGGATTATTAAAGACTATTTGCATTAATCTTCATCTTCTTTGTGCATTTATCTCACCGTAACGTGACAGAATACCAGACCAACAAAAAGAAAGCGGCGCCTTTCCCCCCCCTTTTTTTATTTATTTTTTATTTTGAAAAGTGTTTCTTTTCTTTTTTGTCATGGATATCGCCGCACATTTCACCTCCTTAGCCCATAAAGACCTTCCCCTTTTGGACTATGCTCTTGAGTTCAGTCAGCTCGCCGTTTTAACAGCTTTTGATGACGTGACGCTGAACTCACTGTTCTGTCGTGAATTACCTGTCTGTCCCGTCACGACCACTGAGGTTTGTCTGTCCCTGTCTGCCCTGATCTGTCTACCTGTATTACAATGACCATGTCCTTGTCGCTGGCGCTCCCGGTGCTGGGAGTGGCCTTGTGGTGTGTGTGGGCAGCACACACTGTTCCTAAGCACACACTGATGCCTCCTGATCATCCTGAACACCCGCCCAGCCTCCCTCTCCCACCACCTCTGCCCAATTCCTCCCCAGCGGTCCTCACCATTGCCACTGCTGTCTCCTGGCAGCCCCTCTGCTAACCTTCAGCCCACCATACGTCTGCTGCACTGACATCCTGATCAACAGCACACGCTCAAACCCATCAGTGACAGCTGCACGCGAGCGGGGCTGTGTGTGCATCACATTCTTCTCTTCCTCTGTGTCATGCATTGAAATCATTTGATGCACATGCAGCCGTGGATTACTGCTCATGTATTCAACCCTCCTGTTGAGCTGAAATTATGTATACTACATTTGTGTTGTGGGTCACATTGACATTTCCATGCAATTTGCCAAAAAACAACACTACGAAAAACACAAAAGTCATGTTTTTACATGACCCCTACTGTAGCTTGTCAGAGACTAAATTTAAAATATTAAAAATTATGAACTGCTATTTTGTTAAAATTAGCTGCACAAGCACAAGCACAAGCACAAATTAAATTTTTTTTTATGTCTACTGAGGTGCAAATGACTACAAATAAAGTATAAATCGTATCTAACATTATTGGTAATTGGTGTAAATAGTACTTACTGCTATTTAGTTTGTGTAAATAGCCTCTACAATTTCTTATGTCTGCTTCTCAAACCCTTGTGAAGGTAAAATGGGTTTAATCATACTTATTTTCAACATCTGAAACAGACTAGTAACTCAGATCCAGAAAAGCTATTTACCAAAAACATCCTTTCACTGACTTTTTGACAGTGAAACTCAAACTTCCATTTCTTCCAGAGTCTTCCATTTCAAGTAAACTTTGAGTGTTAAGTTTAATGAGTTCTCATTCATTTCATATTTTAATGTTTTACAAGCTACAATAAACTCTTAGCTGTTTTTTAAAGTGTTGATTTCTGGTGAATTGTATGGAAACTGATGGGGCAAAATTCTAACATCATCATAGTCATCAAAATTTGTTCAGCCTTTCCAAAATATATCTGTCGCAACTCTGCATGCACATTCATGAGCAAGAAGAAATAAACACTTTAACGTATGTTTCAAACAGTTTACAAATTGAACGGCTAATTATTTTTGTTCCTCTTTTGTAAAGGTAACTGAATGTGGGTCAAACTGACCCACTACACAAGAGGAGGGTGAAGATTCTTGTCTTGTTCTGTATGTTGACCTCTAACATCATCATAGTCATCAAAATTTGTTCAGCCTTTACAAAATATATCTGTCGCAACTCTGCATGCACATTCATGAGCAAGAAGAAATAAACACTTTAACGTATGTTTCAAACAGTTTACAAATTGAACTGCTAATTTTTTTTGCTCCTCTTTTGTAAAGGTAACTGAATGTGGGTGAAGATTCTTGTCTTGTTCTGTATGTTGTGTGATGACGGTCAGTGCACCTCTGGGCCTCGTCCTCTCCGATCAGCTTGGGCCGCTGCTGCTGCTCAACTCGCATGATCCGCAAAATCTGATCGGCTTCACATTCCGGCAGGCTTCCCCGGATCACAAATATGGAATAACCTGCAGAGACATTCAGCTGAGCTCAATTTCCAGCATTATCACTGTGACATTCATGTGGACGCACCATGAAGAATGTTTTACCTTCCTGCTGTAGCTGCGCTAAGAAAAGAGCCAAGTATGTGTCTGATATGAGCTCCGGTCCAGTCAGCAGCGAGTTCAGATTAAACCACTAGATGAAGAGAGAGAAACAGTCCGTAAACTCGAACATTATCTCACACC